CTGGCTAAAGAAAACATTAGTGCTTGATGTGAATGGCATGGTATGTGAGACTACTTACCTCAATCAATCAGTAGTATATAGTTCCATGCCAGCATGCCTGGTTTCCTCCCATAACATCAAGCAGATCACATATTGTGATTGAACTGTGTACACTGTCAATTCCTAACTCATTTACAAATTGTAGATTTCACTTTCATACAAAATCATTGAATAGAAACACTACACAAAACAAGGAAAGATATGAGGTAATAACTACTTTTCTCTTCCTTTAGTCTACTTACTACAACGACAATCTTATTTCATCGAATTCTAGATTTTCCCGTCGATTGATTGGACCGAAGTGCTCGGTCTCAGGTTGACATGATGGCTTCTTGTGCAGATGCTTCAACGATGTCTGGGCATGTAATTAGAATTTAATTGGTAGATGGTTCAACGGGTCATATAAATTATTTCATTGAATTCTGGATTTTCCCGTTTCACAAGAGGTGGCTCTCGTGGCCCAAGTGGTCTAGTGGATAACGCTTTGGTGTTCAAAACTATGGGCACTGGGTTCGAGCCTCGGTGGGAACATAATCACTGACTCAGTGGTAAATGCAGGCACATCCGGATGACGAGTCCCGAATAGGACGAAATGCGCGTTATCCTGGATTCCACTGCTAGTCACCATCCACCAATTAAATTCTAATTACAACGATAATCTGTTTAAGTTTTTACTATGCTTTGATAGTCTGCTCTCAAATGTCATGTTACTATGCAGACAAAAAAGGTCATCACGAGTGCTTATTTTATTTTATATATTTACTAGTCAGTTAATTGAAACAAAAATTGCAGACAAATGATGTGAACTCACGCACTGACTCATGAAACAAAATTATTGATTTCTTATTTTGACTGATTTTAGCGATGGACATTGTTTTGATGAAAAATCATATTTGACTAGTAGAAAATGGTAGGAATCAATATCACATTTCTAGTTTCGTTTTTCAAATCAACCGAGAAAAAAATAAAACCAGTATGAAAAGGCATCTAATCATTTATTGATTGGAATGTAGAATTCATCATGGATCGACATAATTTACAGAACTGTTGAAAGTCTAGACAGTTGTTTCGTCCTCGTTGTGGACTCTTCATGAGTGCAGATGAGTGGATATCACCTGAGAATCGAACTCTTAACGTTTAGGTTGCGAGATTAACCCCAACAGGATTGTTGATGTACACTTTTATGACTGCCATACTTAGTGAGAAATAACTGTTGTTCAATGTTCCGTGATTTTCGATTATTCTCTAACTTATGTGATAGTTCTTGACAATGCGTGATTCCCCTCAATTGACTAATATGCCTTGTTGTTGTGAATACCTTTATAAACAACCACGCCTTAATTGCCTCCTAGGACAGATAATTGCAGTGTTTGATGGGACACTGCGATGATGTTGGGTTGTTACTGTTGTAATTGAGTATTTGATCCGTGTGCGTTGGTTTTCTGTATACTCGGGTTTCTAATTTTCCTGTAGTTGTTCGTTTGATTAAGACGAACAACTACAGGAAAATTAGAAACCCGAGTATACAGAAAACCAACGCACACGGATCAAATACTCAATTACAACAGTAACAACCCAACATCACACAAAATTAGCTGCATACGTACATTGTTCAAGAGAGGCAGGACTCATTGCAGCATTCCGCCTTGAGGGAAATTGAAGAAAATCATCTTATGGACGTCTTCCGAAGAAATGGATACCCACGAAACTTCATCAAAAGACATCTACCCCCAGCTCAACCAACCAAATCAAAGGCCTTGCAGCGAAAACACAAAGAAAGTCGTCCTACCATATATAAAAGATATCTCCGAAATCACTGCAAGACTATTCAAACCTTTTGGAATCGATGTCGCTCATAAACCAACAAAGTCACTACACTCAGTTCTATGTAAACCAAAGGACTCAATGGCAAAAGAAGACAAAACTAACGTCATCTACAAGATAAGTTGCAACGACTGCGACAAACATTACATTGGTCAAAGTGGACGCCCTCTTCGTCTTCGCATTCACGAACACAAACTAGCTGTCAAAAGACACGACATACACTCCCTCATATCACTACATGCAGACAACCACGGGCACCAATTCGACTGGGACAATGTTCAAATCTTAGACAAAGGGAACTGCAAAAATGCCAGAGAATTCCTAGAGGCCTGGTATTCAAATGAATCAGCAATCAATAGACACATCGAGATTGACAAAATATACCAATCCATACGAAGAAATTCACACAAAAACAAAGTCAAATTTCAGGTCAAGGAAACAATCAACACCAAAACAAGTGAACTAGAACATGAGAAGTCACACAAAAGCAACCAATCACGTTCAAGGTTAGCAGAAGGAATGACTAACGACAGTCAGACCAAAGAAGCAGCCAGAACCGAGACAAGCAAACTAGGGGATGAAATGTCACACGAAAACAACCAATCACGTTCAGGGTTACTAGAAGAGATGACTAATAAACTCATAGAGAATTCTAAAAGCTCACTTCACATCGAAGTATGCGCTGAAGATGTTGCTCAGTAGAGCAATGAAAGCTTCGCAACCAAACCATCCAGCTCAGAGAACACAACCACACCAAAATCATCCACCTGAGCTACAAATCTTCACTATTATATCTAAGTCATACGAGCGGAACACGGTATTTCTAGACTTTTATGTACATTATTATTCGTTATTTTTAGCAGAGAAGCAACGTCTTGTAGTTGGTTTTTTTTCTTGCTCACGGTTATTCTGTTATCCCTATGTGGCCGTTTCTTAGAAAGTCAGGCCATTTATGTGCGAATCGTATTTGCACACTTTAAGTCTGCTGTGACTGAGTGGTGAATTCCTCAAGGTTAAGCTTTGTTATTGTTTTTTCTCATGTCGCTGATTCTAGACGTGAACATTGACGTCAATTGTTATCGGCAATTTTTGCTTGTAGACAGCTCACCATAGTAACAATCCTACAGCCATGCTATAGATGTGCCTAGAATCCAAATCAAAATATGACATCAAATCCATTAAGTTTTTAATTGTCTGTTTCAACCATGTCAGGGAGTTGTAGACCGATTAGATAGTGATCTTGATCGCCCTATTATGCTCTACCACAGTGGCCAAGTTTTATACTTATATCAATGATCTTGATCTTGTAAATGTATTCACGCTTTATCAACTCAGAAATTTATGATATTCTCATTATTCTGTATATAACTTACTCTTTTCACCAGTACATTGCTGTCATTACAGTCCCTTGGGGTTTGTTTGTGTTTTACCTACTTTTGTGTGCTATATATGAGGTGTGGCAAAATGACTTACTACTGCGTGAAAAGCTCACCTAAGCAGTCTTCTCAAAACTAAACTTTTCTAGAGTATTTTAAAGGACATTCAATAAAACACAAAAGAAGTAATAGTTATCACAAACTCACTCTAACACGAAACCATCAATTTTGTATGAGTTATGCATGTCAAATATTTCATGTGGGAATCAAATGTAACAGTATAATAACAATAATAATAATAATGAGTTAAGTAAGCTGAAGATTGCTGTTTCGCCCTAGTCTGGGACTCATCGTCAGCATGCGCCAACTGGGCTTTGAAACCAGGACCTTCCAGCTGCAAGGCAAGCTCGTATACCAGCCAGCCACTGGAACCTGATTCAGTTGTGACCAGTCAAGTCCATCGAGTTGGGAGTGACATTGACTGGTGGTCACGCTAAAATCACGAATGGGTATAGGCTAGAATTCATGAGCTGGCCATTTAGGAGTCGGGTCCCAGTGGCTGAATGGTCTATGAGCTAGCTTGTCTTGTAGCCGGAAGGTCCTGGCTTCAAAATACAGTGGGTGCGTACTGTCAATGATTCGCACACTAGCCAGTACTCCCTGGCTAGTTTTCAATAGTTCTCTAGTTGATGTCATTCCGTGATCAAACTCGAAAAACAAATCTAATCCTTACAAATCAACACTTTAAAGCTGACGACTCTTCGATGGTAGACTCGCGTACTGATTTTCGCCTAAGAATACACTTGCTCAGTGAGCTACCGATCGAGAGAGAGAGGGGGAAAATTTAACTTGATATATTAACTTATGATTTACTTGACTTTCTATAATAAGCTCAAACCCTGTTTAGTTTACTGATCTTGGAACATGTGTGTGTAGCATCATTAGACTGTTCGGGATAGGTGGTGACGTAACTATGTAATAATCAATTCTGAATTTCCGGATGTTGGATTTCAAATGTCCAAGTCATACTAACAGAGTAATGTTAACTTAGTTATTTCTGTGACTATGATATGCTTATTATTATTATTATTCTATACTTAGAAGCCGAAGTGAAAACGATGAGTGGGGCGTTCGAGGGTGACATGGAGGAGATCGTGAGATGAGGAGACCAGAGACTGTAGGTAACCGTGGGGCCGGCTAGAGTGGACCACAGAAAATAGGAGGACAAAATGGAGACGTGCTGTTGAAGATCTATGTTTCACTCGGAACCTAAGGGAACAATAACAATAGTAATAATAATACGTACGTTCTATTCCACTCAGTTCTCCACTGTTCCGTCCAACCGACATCACGACCATCAATAAGATTTTATTTTCTCCTCAAACTTTCTCTTTTCTACATCACCCTAGGGCACCCCACTCGTCCTTTCCAATATATTTCCAGTCAAGGACGTGGGCATGTAATGTCACTCACCGTTCTCTCCAGTGTATATCCAATCTGTCTCCATTTCCTTCTGCATATTTTTTAGATGATAGGTTCTTTGTTAAATCGTTGCCGGAGTTCCTCGGTGTTTATTCTTTCTGGTCAGCCTCACTATGTAGTTTGCTTAGTTCCCACTTGTATGGTTCTTATTTTTCCGTCCATTAATTCAAACAGAGAGTTTGCGCCAATTGGTGAAAGAACAATTCCTCGTCTCCAATTAGTTTGTCTGTTTTGTTTTGTTTTCTAACTTTATTGTCTCTCTTTTTTTTCGCTATTTAGACACGTAAAGAGGCGTATTGGTTAGATGGTAAAATGAATTTAGATGGGCATAAGGTGTTCATCCTTTCTGGTGATTTGGATGTTTCAGATCGTGAAAAAGTGATCGAAGATTTTCGATCATCACGTTTTAGAGTTTTAATTACTACTAATATCTGTTCACGAGGTTAGTTCTTTGTTCCACATATTATTATTATGATTATTAACGTAATTATTATTTTTTTACGAGTTGATCACGGATTGATATCAGTTAGAGAACCATTGAAAACCAGCGCTGGAGTACTGGACAGCCGGCTGTTTCATCCCAGTTTGGGAATCATCAGTAGTACACACTTGGGTTCGAACCCAGGACCTTCCAGTTACAAGGCAAGCTCATATACCAGCCAGCCACTGGGACCCGATTCAATGGCTCATGAATTCTTCGCGCTAAATCATGAATTAGTAGAAGTTAGAACTCATGGACTGGTCATTGAGGAAGGTCCTGAGTTCGAACCCCAGTGGGTGCATATTGCCGATGATTCCCAAACTAGGATGAAACAGCTATCCAATACTCTCTTGTTTTCGATGATTCTCTAACTGATATCAATCCGTGATCAACTCATAAGAAGAAACAAAACTTATTCTTACAAACCAAACAACTATAGAAAAGTAATTATTATTCTGGGTTCGAGTCCTGACCTACACATTCCTAAATCGCACCTTGTTCGGCAGTAACCTTGCTAACAAGAGAAGGTTCAGGGGAACCGTGTGGCTAGCCACCCCATTCCTGTAAAAGCATCACTAACAAGATCACTGCTACTGAGACGAAACTTTAAAACTGAGAGCTCGAAGCCCTGCGAACACAAAGGACTGATAATGATAATTCAAATATATTGATTGGAGCTATTATTGTTCATGTTCAAGCAAAGACAACATGGTCCATAGTATAAAGATGTGCACATTTTCTATTTTGAGACTTCTCAGCTGTGAACAGCCTGAAATTATAAGAAAAGTGCAGATGACGATTGGAGGAGGAATTTATTGCGAATGCCGCACATCAAAATGCTGACTAACCAACAAAATACTGGAAAAAAAGATTAAATAATACACTAGGCAAGAAAGCCTATTCAAGTGATGGTTTACAGGGATCTGAATAGTTACAGGATTTCATCCTGGGATGAAATCGGTTGGAGAACTATTGGAAAAACAGCAGAGAGTACTGAACAGTTGTTTCGTCCTAGTTTGAAGCTCTCCAACAGTACGCACCCACCGGGGTTCTAACTCCAGTAGCCAAATGGTTTACGAGCTCGCCTTGTAACCGGAAGGTTCTGAGTTTGGATCTCAATGAGTGCTTACTGCCGAGGAGTCCCAAACTAGGTTGACGAAACTGCTGTCCAGTACTCTCTGCTGGTTTTCCAATGCTTCTCTAACCGATATCAGCTCATGATGAAATCTTGAAAGCATATATAAGTTGGTTAAGGTTGCACAGGTCACTTGTCTCATAACTTGATCTACATTTCTCAATACGTAGGCTGATGTAATCTCGACTCATGTGTCCACCAAATGGACATCTCAGAAATCACTACAAGACTCTTCAAACCTTTAGGAATTGACGTCGTACACAAACCAACAAAGTCACTCCACTCAATTCTATGTCAACCAAAAGACTCAACAGCGAAGAAAGATAAAACCAACATCATCTACAAAATAGATTGTATCAACTGCGAAAAACACTACATTGGCCAAAGTGGACGTCCCCTTCGTCTTCGTATCCACGAACATAAGCTAGCTGTCAAAAGACATAATATCCACTCCCTCATATCACTACATACAGACAACCACGGACATCAATTCGACTGGGACAATGTTCAAATATTAGACAGAGGAAACAACAAGAATGCTAGAGAATTTTTAGAAGTTTGGCATTCCAGTGAATCATCAATCAATAGACACATCGAGATAGACAAAATTTATCAACCGATAAGAAAGAAACCTCACACACTAAGGGTCAAAGTTCAAGTCAAAGAAACAATGAGTTACAATACAAATAACCTAGAGGGTGTGAAAACACACAAAAACAACCAATCGCGTCCAAGTTCGCCAGGAGAGATGATTAATAAACTCGTGGAGAAATCTAAAAGCTCACTTCAAATTGAAGTATGCTCTGAAGATGTCACCCAGTAGGGTGATGAAAGCTTCGCAAATTAACTATCCAGCTCAGAGAACACAACCACATCAAAATCAGGATCGTTTAGTTTTTGTTAAATAGTGCCACTTGTAGATCGTGTGAGATATCCCACTGCTCATCATAATTTACACATAATCTTAAGTAAGACAAGTAAGTTAATCAGTCAAGAATCAGATGTGCCTAGAACAGTTTGTTGTCTAAGTAAGCTCAATTACTTGGAATATATACTAAGCTACGTGTTACACTTACTGTGTGAGAAGACTGATGATACTACCCATTTGTCCCAGGTTAAAGTAGGTTTAGCCGGACTCGAACTTATGACTCCTATCCCCTGAAAACTGACTGTTTAAACCAGTCAGCCATGTCTTCACAGTTTGAAATCGAGCTTAAAGTCACTTCTTTGCACACTTTTGTTTTAATCAATTGCGGAGTTCGTGTATTTTCTCAATGATGATGTTTATTCTATTGTCATGTTATTCTTTCAACCCAAACCTTTAAGGTTTGGATATTCCACAGGTGAATTTGATTATTAACTGGAATATGCCGACAACGAGGAGTGGTAATGCTGACTGGGAGACATATTTACACCGTATCGGTAGATCAGGTCGATTTGGCAAAGAAGGTGTAGCAGTCAATTTTATAACAAGTGATGAAATGTATCTGATAAAAGAATTAGAATCACAATTTGGTGAGTAGTATATGTTTCGTAGGATATGTAGATATATAAAGTTCTTAGAGTTAAATGTTACAACTGTAAAGGTTTTGTTATTTTTAACAGGAGATTAATTGTGAATAGTCCGAATAGTTCATTGGTAGCGTCTCTAACTGCAGCACTGAGTGACGAGAGTTTGGACATCTGAGGTTGCCGATATATGCCCTACAGATAAGTACCAGCAAGTATGAAACCTTTGCGTCAGTGGCACAGTGGTTAGGACGCCCGCCGACCATGCACATGGTCCGGGGTTCGATCCCTGGCCAACACCGCACTCCTTCACCTCGTTAACCCAGTAATAAAAAAGCTGATAAAGAGAAAAGGTTGGGCATGAGGCTAGCAACCCCATCCTGTAAAAATAAACACCACTGCTACAGAAACTTCAAGCGTCTAGCTTGAAGCCCTCGGTCGGTCGGTTTTCGACATAGAACTTTGCACATATGTGCGGCAGTTCAAGTCGCCACAAGCTATGTAGCACGCAAAGCAAGAGAAGGAAGTAGAAGAAATGCATAATATAGACAGTAAACAGAGGTGTGAGACAAAGGAATACTAATAACGGAGAACAAAACAGTTTGATTGTAAATCATAAGTCACAAGGAGTGGATGCATCTGCGACAGCCATTGAGGACGATTTTGAGCCATATCACCAATTGTTTCCAACCATTGGATTTTACCATCCCGAGGGCCCCAACCAGGAAGTCTACATCTTCCTACGTGGCTTAGATTAACTGTTGTGGATTTCATTGATTGGTACCATGTTTTGGTTTGACCGCCGCTAGCTCTTTTCCAGCCTGACCCTATATCAGCTAACATTGCCCGTCGAGGAAGGCAATGACTAGGCATACGTAGCACATGTCCTAACCATCTCAGTCGAAGTAATTTCACAGTCTCGTCGATTGATTTCCCCTCCTTACCTAGCACTCGACCGATGCCTAACCTCAATATTGCTCACCTTATTATACCACTTCACGCGGGAGATAGAACGCAGACACCTATGATCGAAGACAGCTAATCTTTTCATGTCTTCTGCTCTCAATGGCCAGGTCTCGCTCACAGCCATAAAGGAGGACGGAGCGGACTGTTGAGCAGTACACACGCCCTTTGGTCGATAGTCGGATATCGCGTCTACGCCAGAGACGGCGTAAACTGGCATATGCGAAACTAGCCCTCTGTATCCGTGCTGAGATTTCGTCGGAGATCAACCCGTTGGCACTGGCTGATGGTACTTCCCAAATAAGTGAAGCGGTCAACGTGTTCTACCACTTCACTTCCTTCCCTATGTTCCACTGGGAACGTAAAGGAATATAAAATTAAGCATGGAACCTAAGTACAGAGCTTCTGGCAACATAGAACGCCATTTCAAAGTGCACCTAACTCGATCACCGTGTTGACTGATACAATTCAGTCAATGCAAGCACCAAAGATTAAACACATCACATTGGTTACTGCTTCGTAACCAGTTTATTGTGATGTTAGTTTTTTGAATAGTTTGAAAAAAATGGGTTTCCAGTGATTTGATTTATTTAAAGTTTAATCACAAAATAGCTTCTGTTAGGGAACCATTTAAAACCAGGGAGTAATGGATTGTTTCATCCCAGTTCGGGACTCTTCAACAGTACAAACCCCCCCCCGAAATCGAACTCAGCGCGAGCCCATTTACCATTCAGCCACTAGGTAGGAATTCACCAGCCCATTAGTCATATCCATGCAAAACAACGCTCTCGATTGATAGATGACTCCAAAATAAAGTTGTAGTGAGGAGTCATGACTGATGGGGTCTGGTTGTGGAGACAAATCCTCACCGGCGATATTGGCTGGTAGTTGTGCTATTCATCACATAATAGCTAATAGTTGTCTAAGTAAGCTCTATGTTTATTACTAATAGTCCACGAAATTCATGACCGTTGATGTTATTTATTGAGAATTGGCTGTCGGTTGTGTCCAGTCAATTCCAAATTATGAAAAAGAGAAGACGTTCTTTTCGGCGAATTCATTCACATAGCTGTACAATCGCATTTATATACAATTATTTTTGTGTGGTGTGTGTGTACATGAGGTTTGTCAAGTTTAGATAATTAATTAGGTAGTACAAGAATGATCTAATATAGAAACAAGGTTAATTAGACAGCAACTTAAGTAAGATTGAGTTAGTAAGTTAGATGACGTAATATAATTAACTAAAATGTTTCAACTTAGGTCAGGATAGCAACAGAGGTAACTACAGGTAGAGACTAAGTAGAGGTGGGGTAGAGAATAATGCCATTTAAATTAGGACTGAAATTGAGCAAATAGATTGGATGACGTAACATAAATGACTAGAAATTGAGCGTTAGTCAAGTCAGTAGAGAACAGGAAAGTTGAAAATGTAAAATATTACAATTGAAAAGACAAAATAATACTAATGAAGAGACAGAAAGAAAGAAATAGACTTCACCTGTTAGGTATTAAGATAGATTACGTCCATTGCAAGTGTAGTGATTGAACGAGTTCAGGACTTAGCAAGTGAATTGCCATTGCTTCTGCAGTTTGAAGAAGTTTGACTCGTACACTTTTAGGAAGACTGCTTCTTATTCTGTAGACGACTTTGAAGTTTGTTTGGGGTATATCTTAGTGTCCGGAATCTATCAGATGTTCTAAGGTAGAGCAACGGGGGCATCGTTTTTCTTCTTTGTAAAACCATGCTGGTAAGTGTTCGGTGATACTTTCGGATAGCGAACGCTGGGTATGGTCGACATACCTGGCTCCACACGAGCAGGTGAATTGGTAGATACACACTCATGAGGCCAACAGTTTTGTGGTGAAGGTTAATCGTAGTTCAGTTGCGAAGAAGGTTTTCTTAAGTGAACGGGACAGTCGATTTTTCAGTGTTTCCGCCGATGAATTTCCATTGAATTGAAGGTCCATGTAGAGGAGTTTTTTCCGGACGCTAAGCGTGAGCGGCTTTAGCGAACCAATCAGAAGACAAGTTTCCTGCCACACAGTTCGAGATTCATTCGATTTTATCAACTCAATAGAAAACGTCAACGTATCCAACAAGCCCATGATTTCATTAGGTGTCACATCATTGTTCACAAACGTCCCACTGACTGAAACAATATGCTACATATGCGAACTTATTCACTCAAAGGGAATAAACATCGGTATACCCACCGAGCGTCTTAAAGAACTCCTACTAAGATGTACCCTGAATGTTCAACTCTCTTTCTATATTAGATCATTTTTGTACTACCTAATTAATTATCAAAACTTGACAAACCTCATGTACACATACACGCACACAAAATAATTGTATATAAATGCGATTGTACAGCTATGTGAATGAATTTGCCGAAAAGAGTCTCTTCGCTGAACGTTTTGTTTTTTAATTATAACTCATGGGGATTTTTAAGCTACAATTCCAAATTAAGTAAGGTGGGATTGTGCAAACTCAAGATATCTACCTGTCTATGTGTTCCCGAAACTACAGGTAAACTTGTAGATACAATGTACAATAGAGTTCATAGAATTTCGTCCTTTAATCGTAAGCAAAGGAATTGAATATGTTCGAGGTGTAAGGAAAAGCGACATGGCGTAGAATTTGCATTTTATAGTTAACTGAAGCTTTGATCTGTCAACTACACGGTATCCGTCACTCTTTGGTACGGAAACAGTCTCCCCCTTTTATACTAAGACATACAACGAAGTTTTCAAGATGTCAATTAGTCAAAAAAAAAACTGAATGTGTATACATTGTAGCTCATCCATGAATTTATCGCTTGTGGAAATATTATATGAGACCTTGAAAGCAAACATTTCACCAGGAAATGCTTTCACCTGATAGGAACAAAACTGCTGAAATGATAATAATATTGTCCACTTTACGTCTACTACTTGCAAACTAATTGATCACTCTTAATTTTTCTTTCGTCTAGTCATCTAAAATATTCAGGATGTCCAATTTTTCCTATTCATTTCAAATTCTCAAATCATTCGAGTATTTGAACAAGTAGAATTTGAAACAGAGTAATGAGGTTTTTTATTTTAATTTTAGATTTTCCCGTAGATTGATTGGACCGAAGTGCTCGGTCTCAGGTTGACATGTTGGCTTCTTGTGCAGATGCTTCGACGATGTCTGGGCATTTAATTAAAATTTAATTGGTGGATGGTGACTAGCAGTGAAATTGAGGACGCGCATTTCGTCCTATTTAGGACTCGTTGGTGGCTGGATGTACCTGCATTTCCCAGTTAGTGAGTGACGATGTTCCCACCCTCGAGGCTCAAACCCAGTGCCCATAGTTTCAAACGCCCCACTAGACCACTTGGACCACGAGAGCCACTTCTTGTGCAACGGGTCATATTAGTTATTCAATTGAATTTTTTATTTTTCCGTCGATTGATTGGACCAAAGTGCTCGGTCTCAGGTTGACATGTCGGCTTCTTGTGCAGTAATGAGGTTGTTAACTGACTCACCAATAATTCCATCTTTTTGACACTGATTATTCTATACCGTGATTAGCCGCTATTCCTTACTTGTTTCCAAGTCAATTTTGATTTTCCCATTAATTGATTGATTGATTGGTTGGACTGAAATACTGAATGTCTTCTGTTGACATATCGGCTCTTACTAGTGCGGGGGGGGGCTTCGACGATGTTTGAAGATTAGTCAATAACGTCATTTTAGTGAATGGTTGCTTCCAGTGGAATCTAAGACTTGCGCCTGTCTCTTCTATTTGGCACTCATCTTCTGGATATACCTGCATTCCCCAATGAGTGGTAGTGGTGGCGGCGGTGTTTCCACTGAAACTCCAAACCTTAATAATCATTGTTTCAACCGTCAAAGTGTTATCCACTTGAGCTACCGTCAATTCCACTGTTGGTCACCGTCCATTAAACTTGAATTTCTAATATCTATCACATCTTGCCTTTCTTTATCTGATGATTTTTTTTTCTCTTTTGCTTTTTGGGTTGTTTTTTTTTTGTAGAAATAGAAATTCCAG